GTCTATCGGAAGCTTTGACCTTAGCCAACAATGACGTCATCGGCCCTTCGGACCTTCATCTCCTGGAGAAGGCTGGCCTGTTGGCTTCAACTCACCACTGCCCCACTCGATAGGCATTGAAGTCACCGGCTATTAAGATTAGCGCTTTCCCTTTAGCCTCGACAACATTACTAGGAGGTTTTGAGCGCCCTTGCAGTGCACAGGGGGCTTAAAGAGCATATACGTTTGCCAAAAAAGTTTTGGTGTCAGTAGCGCTGAATTTAGATGCCATGGTGCTAGCCGTCTTGAAGGTAAAATACAGAGCCTTTTTAGCTCTACCCTTTTTTAATGGGAGCAATGGGCTCAGTTTATTAAAAATGTATTTTAGAACATGTTTTTTTTTTGGCGTGGTTACATACATTATGTACGCGGTAAAGTGGTCGTTTTGAAGGTACCATTTAAAGTACGTAAAATCCCCCGTTTAGCTGAAATCAAGACGATTTTCTGGGCATTTCGCGTACACAAATCATACTACAGGGCTTTAAAAAATCGTAGAGAGCTCTATTTTTCTTTAAATTACTCGTTAAAAAGAATACTTTTTGAAGGTGTATGTTAAATTTCGATAGAAAAATTAGTGTGGTACTGGTACACGTTCAAACAGTCAATTTTTTTCAGTAATTTTTAGTGTCGCGCTCAAATACTACTGGTAACTCGACATCAACTCGAATCTTATCTTAATGTATGTGGATTTATAGAGAACAAAATTTCCAAGAAATTAAAAAAAAACCGTGTCGATACGATAAATCTAGCCCAAGATGAAAGCATTTGAAAATCGACAAAATTGTGATCAATTTTTTTGTTGCGATAATTTTGTTGCCGAGTATATATCAAAAATCAGATACTACATCAGATACACAGAGAGAAAATATACGCGTTTGAGGGAGGACCTGTATCAAGTGAGAATCACCGGAACGCTTGCCTGGCTCAATCGATGGCTGTCTGGCGATGATCGCCGGAGACTCCACGCTGAGACTTGAGTTGAACTACGGCCCCGCGGCATTATTTATTCTAATCGCTAAATTTGTAACTCACTGAAAAAGTACCTGAATACACTTGAAAAAATAAATGAATCCATCATTGCGATAGAAAATTGTCTCAGCTTTCCAATGGTATGGTCAAATTTTCCAAAATTTTCATTTTTTCCCGAGAAAATCGACGGTAAACCTTTAAAGTCGAATATCTTACAAAATAGGTCGACTCAAATTCCAGCGTGCGAGTGACCAAAGCGACGCTGGAGTCTCCGGCTATCATCGCCGGACAGCAAGCGATTGAGCCAGGCAAGCGTTTCGGCGATTCTTGCATGATACATGTCCTTCCTCAAACGTGCGTAGAATATGCTTACTTCCAAGGTCTTCAGACCAAATTTTCAGCAAAAGTACAACGGTTCAAAAAAGTATAAAAAATGTGTCCGTCCCGGACTAAATGGATTGAGAAAAAAATCGAAAAATGCACTTTTGAATTAGGTTTTCATTTGTATTGTAATGACCTAGTCATATCATCTTTGCGGCCGTAGGAAGGTGAAACACGGGGCGGCAAATCAGCCCGATGCAACACCAAGTCCCGAACGGGCATGCTAGTGTACGGCCTCACACGTACACCGCAGCGCGCACTGGTGTGAGTGCGCACACGGACAGCGCGCACTGGTGTGAGTGCGCACACGGACAGCGCGTACTGGTATGAGTGCGCACACGGACAGCGCGCACTGGTGTGAGTGCGCACACGGACAGAGCCGTGAACGTTAGTGTGCGACTGCACACATACACCGCAGCGCGTACTGGTGTGAGTGCGCACACGGACAGAGCCGTGAACGTTAGTGTGCGACTATACACGTACGCCGCAGCGCGTACTGGTGTGAGTGCGCACACGGATAGAGCAGCAAACGTTAGTGTGCGCCCACTCACGTACGCCGCGGTATGCACTGGTGTGAGTGCGCACACGCATGGAGCAGCGCGCGCTTGTGTGAAGCATAACTCGCGCTTGCAAGCTACAAGTCAAAATTTATGATGCCTCCGTTACCGGGAATTCGATAGGGTAACCGGCTCGGGCAGTTCGCAGAAAAATCGGATGTTGGCAAAAATCAGGTCACAACTTGCGAGCGAAGAAACTAAGGGGACGGCTCAAGCATTCGCCTAAGATTCCCAGAAACGACGGATGGGAAAAAACGCGCAGCCCGCAAGCTCTAGAGGACACATAAAGTTCACGGTGACCCTCGCTCAGACAAAGAGGGTACGGCAGCAACAAACAGTATATAAACCGAGACTCAGAGAGTCTCGGGGCCAGTGTTCATTCTCGGTTCGAGGCGTACACATTGACGCTCGTCGGTTCGGTATTCACGTACATCTTTACTTCTCGCCACAAATCTCCGGCGACACAATCTCCGCGACTAAATCTCCGGGACAAAATCTCCGGGCGACTAAATCTCCGCCGAATTTAATTTTATATTATTATTTATTATTAGTGATAGTGTGTTTGGGTGCGTGATAGTGTATTTGGGATGCGTGATAGTGTGTTTGGATGTGTGATAGTGTGTTTGGGATGCGTGATAGTGTGTTTGGGATGCGTGATAGTGTGTTTGGGTGCGTGATAGTGTGTTTAGGTGCGTGATAGTGTGTTTGGGATGCGTGATAGTGTGTTTGGGTGCGTGATAGTGCATTTGGATGCGTGATAGTGTGTTTAGGATGCGTGATAGTGTGTTTGGGATGCGTGATAGTGTATTTGGGATGCGTGATAGTGTGTTTGGATGCGTGATAGTGTGTTTGGGTGCGTGATAGTGTGTTTGGGTGCGTGATAGTGTATTTGGATGCGTGATAGTGTGTTTAGGATGCGTGATAGTGTGTTTAGGATGCGTGATAGTGTGTTTGGGTGCGTGATAGTGTGTTTGGGTGCGTGATAGTGCGCATTTTTTTCACGCGGGATTTTGTCTCCGGAGATTTTGTCTCCGGAGATTTTGTCTTGCGGAGATTTTGTCTCCGGAGATTTGGTCTCCGGAGATTTTGTCGCGGAGATTGTGTCGCGGAGATTTTGGCAGCGGAGATTATGTCGGTAACCCCTTTTTATCATCTTCAATTGAAAATTTCCAACTAATTTATCAATGATAAAACTTCAGTTAGTTTATTTAGTGATACCACTGAATACATACATAAAAAAACATTTTTCTATGAGGAAGCTCTTTGCCAAAAGCAGAGTAGACCGGTTCGTTTTGGAAAATTTTTTTTTAATTTTGGGAGCACCAGCAAAATCCCTTAGTTGAACTAAAAACATGAAGTTTGCCGCCTACCTGGTGTCGCTAGGTGCCCTGAATAGCTGTCGATAGCTTTTTGAAGTTGAAAAATGTAGTGCAAAAACTGGACAGCATCGCTAAATAAGATTTAAATTACCTACTGGGCTCTGAGGGTAAAATCAATATTAACAAGACGTTTTCTTACGTAATTTTTTATGTACAATCGATTCTCGTCGTTATTTCTGACCTAGGAATACGATAACATTGAAAAAAGTACTTTTCCGATTTTTTTTTTCATAAATTTCGAAAAATTCATATTCGAGGGCATGTCAAATGAACAGAAAAAAAATCTAGACATTTTTTTAATATTACCAAAACGTAGGATTTTTTATGACAAATCTAACGGTATATATAACTTAATATATTATACTTTAAAATTATTTACAAAAAAAAAAATGACTTTATCCCAAAAAACAACATTACGAAAAATTAAAAAATCGAAAAGTGTATTAGTTTCTTCCAGAAAACGGCTGAGTAGAATCAACTATGGAAAAAATTGCATGAAACTATCTGATAGGTTTTTGTTTCACCTTTCCAACGCCGGTTTCAGAAGTTAAACATTCGCAAGCATCGCTGAGATACAACGGTTTTTGTACGATACGTTTTTGTCACTTAAGATTCTGCTTCGCCGGTTTTTTATAAATCGAGCTAACTCAGAATTTTGGAGTTTTGGTGAGATAAAAATCTATCAGATAGTTTCATGCAATTTTTTCTATAGTTGATTCAGCTTAGCTGTTTCCTGGAAGAAACTAATACACTTTTCAATTTTTCAATTTTTCGTAATGTCGTTTTTTGGGATAAAGCCGTTTTTTTTGTATGTAAATAATTTTAAAGTATATAGTTATATATGCCGTTGTATTTGCCATAAAAAATCCTACATTATGAAAGTATCAAAAAATTTTCTAGATTTTTTCTGTTCATTTGACACGCCCTCGAATATGAACTTTTCGAAATTTATGAAAAAAACAATCGAAAAAGTACTTTTTTTCAATGTTATCGTATTCCTTGGTCAGAAATAACGACGGGGTTCGTTTCTACACCAAAAATTACGTAAGAAAACGTCTTGTTAATATTAATTTTACCCTCAGAGCACAGTAGATAATTTAAATCTTATTTAGCGATGCTGTCCAGTTTTTGCACTACGTTTTTCAACTTCAAAAAGCTATCGACAGCTATTCAGGGCACCTAGCGACACCAGGTAGACGGCAAACTTCATGTTTTTAGTTTAACTAAAAGATTTTGCCGGTGCTCCCAAAATTAAAAAAATTTTTCCAAAACGAACCGGTCTAGTGCAGAGTACACTCTGTAGCCAGTGCTTTTATGAAATTAGGCATCCAACCAGAAGCGTTGTTAGACATTACTTTGATGAGCGTCTCTATAACAGCGATTCACTTCCATCTTCATCGACCTAATCCATACATTCGCCATCCACCAAGCGGTAAATAGAGGTTCGATCCGTTAATAACGGTCCTTCATCACTAAATTACCCAGCCCCGTGTTCACCAAATGACAACTAAGTGCAAGCAAAAAGGGCAGAGACTATCTCTCAGGACCTACATTTTTCAGCATCAGCCCCAGCTTAACAATCTTCAAGTTATTTATATAACTAACTAAAAAGGTTTATTATATAGGTATTTTCAACTATCTGTTGCAGCATATAACATTAATTATTTTTTTTTAGCAGAAACACCCACACGTTATTTTTGAAGCTAGAACCAGAATCAGTAAAGGTTGTGCCAATTCAGGAAGCTTGGATTGGCGATCTAAATCTCGACGTCCAAAAACTTTTTCAGAAACTGAAAATAGTTTTTCTCCAAGATTTACAAGGGATGTTCGGGAAGTTACAAAATTCATTGAAACAGCTCTCTTTATTGATAAAGCAATGGTAAGAGTTGTTAATTTTAATTACTTTTTGCGTTATTGCTAAAAATAAATATTTCTTGCATATTTAAATGTATTTAACTGAAATTGTTGCATCTCTTTAAGCATGTCTTCACATTCTATCATTTTTCTTGTAAAATATTAAAGAATAAGTACACAGGAATAAATAATATAATAATATACTTACATATCACAAGCACACAATAAATAAAAAATTTTACTTCCAGAGCCTAGTGAATTTAATGTCTTTGGGGTCACTGAATGCAATTCTGGCGTTTATTTTCTGGGTCGGTTCATTGTCATGGTCATTTAGATTAAATTAAGAAAAATTAGTAAAAAATCTGAAAAAATTTATGCATGGGTTTTTGTGGATGCTGAGTCCAAATCAAAGTTCAGATTATCTCTAAGAACTTACATACAAGGTTATGTGAAAGTCGACCATAAAAAATGTATCATGAAAAATGATTAAAAAAACACATGTCGAGGAGCCCGTGTCACGCTCCAAATGGCAAGTATGGCAGACGAGAGCAGCGTCACTCCACGCTTTTCATATACACGAGAATCACGATTTGGGGACCTGCAAAACAACCTAACGTTATCATTTGAAATCTATAAAAGATACGATATTTCTGATTCGGTACATTGATTTCTCATAAAAAATGACTCAAAATAGTGTATTTATAGTTTTCAAAAAAATGCAGTATTAACTAAATACGAGTGATAAAAGAAAAAATCCCCGCCTTAGCTTCGCCTCGGTTAATAAATTGCACGTGCTATGAGACTTCCCAGTTTTTCACTCCCTAGGTGCAAAATATACTATTTTTACACTTTCCTTCTTCGAGGTTTTTGAGAGCATAAACATATTTTTTTCAGATTTTATTTTAACATTGATTATGATTTTAAGCTTCCAATATCCTCAATAATAAGAAAACTAAATAAAAAGGATGTCGGATTCGGATTAAGCAACACCAAAACGTAAAAGCTTCTTTGTCCAGTCTCTCAAATAAATCAAAAAAATTTCATTACTTAAATCCATTGTAGTGTATAAAAAAATGAAATTTACAAATAAACTAATCTCTCCAAACATAGTCAATAAAACTACCAAAAACATAAGGAGTAGGAGAATTGAAAAAAAATGAAAAAGGTTATAATCGAATTAGCCTTTCCTGGTGGGCAGAAGGGGGAAAGATTAAAGAAGAGTTCTGGTTTACAGAGTCAAAAAATAAATGCTTTTTGTAAGTTTCTCATGAAGAATAGGTGATTTATTGGATTATCAATCTTTTTGATTGAATGTAGTAACTCTTCAAGTTTTTGAATTAATTTTGCCCAAATGGCTTTTAATTTTGTTTGGAGTGTAAAGTAACATTATAATGAAATTTACTATGGTTATTGTTATGTTTATATGACCATGAAGAAGAAACCCCGAATTTAAGTTTAAAGAAAAAAAATTTAGAGCAACATTAACAACGCTAGTGCTGCAAACTTCGGGCGGAAATCGAAAAAAATCTCTCTAATGAATGAATTAAAAAATTTATTTTGAAATGTACTTTGACCCAGAGATCAAGAAAAGAAGTGTAAGGCAACTAAAAGTAATCATCATAAAATCTCTACGCCTTTTGGGTAGATATCAATGAAAAAAACGGCAATAAAGGCGGTGACAAAGAGTAAAATTCGACCCAAAAAAGAGTGAAAAGATCAGTTTACTCCTTTCAAAAGTAAAAATTAGAGATTCTTCTTTTTAGCTGCGATCCGATGATCGAAAAGAGTAACCTCGTGATTTTACTCTTTATAAAAAGTTATCCCAAACCCAAAAGGAGAATCTCGTCAAATCCTACTTTTGAAAAGGAGAAACAGTTGCCATCTTTTGTAAAGATTAAAATTGCGAGTTTAGGGAGAAAGGGAGAAGGAGAATCGTACTAATTTTTACTTTTGAAAAGAGTAAACTGATCTTTTTACTCTTTTTTGGGTCGAATTTTACTTTTTATTGCTGAGCGCGTAGTCATCGTTTTGCCGACCACTTTGTCTACCTCTTCAAGACTGACGTGTTTGTAACTACAGCTAATACATATAGGCTATTACAGAGATGTCAATAATAATAACAAGCAACAAATGGTAAACAATGTACACTGTGGCGTCGAATGTGGTATAAAATAAGTTCGTTAACATCACTTAATATATGTAAAGTACGTAGTACTTTCTATATTATTGTTATTGGTCATGTGGTTGTATTTCTTGAATTTAGAGAGACTTTATACGACTTGTAAATAGACGAGAGGGACAGAGTCTTGTAAATAGTAAGCCGAGAAGGATACTGTGAATAATCGACACTTAATGTCGTTTTTTTCACAGGTATTTATCATTGTAAAATAGTTTGATTAGTTAAGATAATTTTATTGTATTAAATCTTTGTTCACAGAGAAACGCACTTTAATTTTCATGTTTTTCATTTATAGGCATAAACACAGGTGTGTCCCCTTAACCCATTTCGGGCCAAACGGACGAAATTTCCCACATTTTTTCCGGTGGTATAAACTTTGTGAAAAAAATATCTGAAAAATCTTTAAACAGTCATTTCTGACGTGAAATTTTATGAACTTTTCGAATCCGGTGTCAAAATTGTCAAAAAAGTTGAGGAGCAAAAGTTATAAACAATTAAACATCAAAAAACACGATTTTTTTGAAAAAAATTTTTCGAGTTATGAAAACTAATTGTGTTCTTAAAATAATTATAATGTAATTTTTTTAATTGAAAATGAAGAACTTGACGAAAAAGTGTTATACGTTATAAAAATCTTAAAATATTTCAAAGAACATGTCTGAATTTTTTAAGATTTTTTTTGGATCATTTTTGGTATTTTGGATTTTTGACCATTTTCAAGAATCCTAAACTTTTCCCAGAAAATTCTGAAAAAATTCAGGGGTCTGTTTTGAACAATTCTAAGAACTTTTTCGGAATAAAGTTTTTTGCCTAGATGCTTGGTGAGCATATAAAAAAATTGATCAAGTTTATACATGGTTTTTTTTTACGAGGCGCCATTTTGTTGTCCACCATGTAAAGTTTTGATATTGTAACTATTGGACTATTATGTCTACACCCCATGGACGCAAAAATATGTGTTAGACCCACGGATCAAGTCTCTTTTGATTCGAAAATTTAGGTCGAATCAACATTTTTTTTCAAAAAAATCGTGTTTTTTGTTGTTTAATTGTTCATAATTTTTGCTCCTCAACTTTTTTGACAATTCTGACATGTGGGAAATTTCGTCCGTTTGGCCCGAAACGGGTTAAAGAATCTGTAAAAACTTTTTTCTTATTTTTACATCAAAATGCATAAAATTGATTTTTTTTAGATTTTTTTCATAGAGACTAAAGCCAATAAACACAGTAAAAGCAAGACACAGACATCATCACACAATTTTGCGTTACGAGCAATCGCTACTTATGATCTGTCAGGTAGGCACGTAGTTGACTCTGGAAGAACGAGGACGAATTAGTGTCACGAACTGCAAGCGGCAGCTTGTTCCACACTGTCCCTACAATCGAAAAATAAAATCGCCACCACGACTCTGAGTCCAAATTTGGCACCACCAACCGGAGCAAAAGGCTGCTCCGTGTCTGCGGCACCGACCTAACCTCTCTCTGCTGGAACATCTCCGCGAGATATCGAGGGCGCAGCGACGAAATAGTCCGATGCACCAGAACTTCCAGGAAGTATCTTCTTCTCCTCTCGATGTTGGTGCAACCCATCGTCTCAAGGAAGGGAACCAGCCGGGCGTCCCGTCGCAGCCCGAAGACGAAGCGCACAGCAGTGTACCAAAGTCGTTGCAGCTTTGCGGTGAGGTACTCGGAGAACTCCAGGCATACGAGGCCGCAGTAATCGATCAAGGGTAGCACCAAGTCATCACGAGCTCTCTTCTTAGGGGAAAGTTGAGCATCCCCGCCCTATAGCGCAAGCGATGCAGAACACCATGTCGCGAGACATGATGACACCGAGCTTGCAAACCCTATCCTCCAACGGCATAACCCACCCACAGTAATGTTTGTGTTGGGATTTCCTCTGCAGGAGATATGCGCAGACGCTCAGAAATTTGTAAATTCAAATTTTCCGTTAATTTTACAGTGACTCGAGTTGATTAAGACTCACTAATCAATTAATTGAATTCAAGCTTAATTATTAATTTTGATTAAATAATATTGAACTGTAATAAATCAGGGCGGATTCACTTAATCAAATTTCATCTAACCGAACTTTCAAGTTAAATCAATATGGCACAATGCAATTAGTCGAAACGACTTTGGTCCATTCGTACTATGGTTACTTCGCGTTTCACCCAGCGGTAAAGTTGTTCCTCCATGTAAGGCCACACTCGGATCTCTTCTTATGTGTACAGGTAATTGATCTCGATCTCATCAGAAGCCCATGTCGGCCATGGTCTTGATCTTCTGGACAAAAGTCGTGGCTTAGTTCCACACCTTTCAGCCACCGCAGGGTACGTACTTAAATACATTTTGAGCTCACAAGGGATCCTCGATATTCTTTTTATTTGTCAAATCAAATAAATATGGGCAAGGGAACAGCGACTTAGTTCAGTCGTTTTAATTCTGACGTTTTGTGTTCCCTTAATGGCTAGTTGACGTTCTTTATAAGGATTTTCTTCCATTTCTGGGCTTCTGGTTTTTTAAAGCAGTTTCAAAGCTAGTTTTCAGTGTCACGTAAATAATTGTCGTTAAACAATTATTTCGTTGAGTTGACCTTGATATACTGATCATTTTGAGTGTGCCGAATTAACGAACAATAACTCATAAATTGTTGGTTAGTTCTTTATTCTCTCTTATGTGGTTTATATTAAATTTGGTAACAAGAATTCAATTCTTCGGAGGCAAAACTGGAGTGTTCATTGCCTCTGAAACCGTGACTCACATTGTGATGAACATTTTATCTAGACGTAGAATAATTATGAAAAGTATTTTGAACTAAAAAAGAAATAGAAAAATGAATATATTTTAATTATCTTATTTATTATAATCTGAACTTACATCGTTGAATTTAGGGGAGAAAGGTACCTAAAATCTCAACAAAAAAAAATTTTTTTATTGACTTTTTTGATAGGATTTTTTCTCAGCTTTCCATTGTAAATTGACATGTATACATCAGTGTATATGTATTTCACTGCACTTTATGTATGTGTATATGACTGTATCATATATATTATTGTATGTTGCATGTGATAAACAATATGAGTGATAATTGATCAAATTTGAGTGATTTTATTTCCAATTATAGATCCAGTGATTAATGTTTTATGAATGTTATAGAATAGGTAGAAGACTGGGTTCAAGTTCTAATGTGAGGTTGTGCATATTTGTGTGAAAAGTTGATTTGGACATAATCAACTTAGTTACCAGTTTCCACATAAAACCCATATTAGTGTATACTAACATTTTAGTACAACTTATAAAATGTGGTAATGAAATTGGCGCCTGGATGTGTGTAGCTGTCTGGGATAATTGAACATTGTCCTTGTGAGTCCAATATGTTGAAAACTCCAATTGAATTACTGATTTTATTGTCCAAAAAGTGTTAAGCAGCCTCAGTGACATGAGAGTATCATTATGACATATATTGGTGTATTTTTGTTGTTTTCAACTCTTGAGCAGTTACGTTTCATCTCAAAATTGCTTTGTTGCCGTAACTTTCCATGTGAACCATTTGAGCAAATGAGCTGAAATTTTCAGGGATTGTTCTACATGAGAATGGCTACAAACGCAAGCACTTTCACAGGTATTGGGACAAATGAGCCCTTTTTTCAGGGTATATTGTAGCATAATCTATCATTTAATCATATATATTAATGAATAAATGTGTATTTGTGGCTGGCAAATTGTGTATAACTAATTAAAAAATCTGAAAGTGCTTGCGTTTGTAACCACACTTCTAATGATCAAAATGAGACCCCAATGACCATGATTGTACCATCGGTTCTAGCTGGATCCTACGGCACAGGGATACCTGTCAGGACTGTGGGCTTGCTTCATCGAGGAGGGTTCTATGGTGACTGGGACCTCAATTTCCATATTCCAGAGTGAAGCAAACAGAGTTTTCTCTGTATATTCCAAAAAAAATTTTTTTCTTCATAATTAATAAATTTTTTATAAATGTAGTTTTAAGGTACCTTTCCCCCTTAAATAAAGTACCTGTTTTTGATACAAAAAAACAAAGCTTAATTCTAAAAATTGTCCAGTGTGGAAGCCGGAAAAGAAGAGGGTGAGTGATCGATAATTTTTCTAGAAGTTGATCAATTCTCAAACGTGAAAGATTTTCTATTATTTGATTGTAACGCCTCTATACTTCTTTGTGTCAAGTATTTAAGCCTTCCATTCAAATTCAAGTTTACCTGATAAAACAGTCTTATCTTACAATTACTTAATTAATTATTTATTGTTATTTTTTATTCTTCCCAAAGATTTTATTGGTCCCAAAGATTTATGGGTTGTATAATTGCGCGCGTTCCGAGGCTGATGATCTTCTTCTCTATTATTTTAATATATGATTAAATTACGTCAAGTCATTGAAATACGGAAAGATAAAAGATCATCTTCAAAATCTGAAGATAATAAAAATAGATAATAATGTTTTAAGATGTATATCAGGTTCCACATGTAGAGGTGTCTCTTTAATGTCGTTCTTTTACTGTTCATCGTAACAACATCACATTCGGCTTGAGTAAACAAACTAATTGCACGACTGCTGGATACTAGGTGTGAACAACGACTCGATTCTTAAATGATTCAGATAATGGTATTGTATGAGTTTTAATTGCTTATGTGTAGGCATAGCTTTAGAGACTTGAGTAATCTTTCCAGCGAAGTCATTATATATAATATTATTTCGTTGTAGCGACATTAAACTATTATGAATAATAAATAAAACAAAAAATTATGTGTTGGGTCCATACTTAAGATCCCTTGTCTCAGCCGAGACTCCAACGTGTGTGTGTGTGTGTGTGTGTGTGTGTGTGTGTTTGCTTTGGTATGTTAGGAGATAATTGTAGGTCGCAGAGCACCTAACGACAAGATAATGCGTAGCTCATTTGTAACGTGCCACAGAGATCATTCTGATTTGAATAAAGCAAGCCTACAGATCAAATACACCAGTTTGTTATTCTACTTACATATTATCTATACGTTTAAGCATAATCTTATGAAATAAATTTTGAATTATCACAATTGAACCATTTGAGATTGTAGCTGTTTTAAATTGCAATAAACTGAAATTTTTGTTTCCTATTTACAGTTTGATAAAAGAAATGGAAGTACGAGAACAGAGGTAGTCCATGACATTATTCAAGTAGCAAATATAGCTGATTTGGTAAGTTAAGCCATAAGTTACTATCATAAATGCTATTAATATTAAGCTAAGCCGTTTCAAAAAATTTTCAAAAATCAATTGGTTTTAGCAATTTCCTAAGGAAAAAAAGTCCCTAAAAAAAAAGTATTTTCTTTTTCGATAGGATTTTTTTTCGGCTTTCCAGTGCCATGATTAGAATTTGAAAATTTTAACTTCGTCATGAGCTAAAGCCTATTTAGTACCGATACTTTTATGATTATTTTAGCAAAAATAAATGAAATGACTCAAAGATATCATTACCGTTCCTTCATGAATCTCAGAAACGGAAATGGTACTTTTATTGGTTTTTAATTTCTTTGGATTAGGCGAGCGGGAGGTTGCCCAAAAAGTAAGTTTGAGTGACCACGGAGAGCTAAGTCGATAAACAACATGATTCTTTATGTATTTTTGGTCGCTGCATCCGAATATGACATTTGTTTTTCCCTAAAATGACAGCCTCATTGAGAAAAACGTAATTTTCATGAAAAATGCGTAAAAAAATTTTTTTAATTTTAAAACATTTTTCATGTTCAACTCGCTGTATCTTGCAGAGTTTTCAATATTTTTCGATGAAATTTCAACCGTATATTCTTGAGATCTTGTGAAAAAAAACAAGCTATCATTCGAGTAAAAAAGTTAATTGGAACCCGAGATATGAATTTTCAAACTTTTATTGTCCGATTTAGCAGAGGGTCAACTACGAACTGAAATGTTGTGTGACGAAAGTTCGAAATTGGATTTCTTAACATGATAACATTAAAATATAAGGTACTGATGCAGTTGCGGCTTGGAGCGAGAGCTCGAGGACGCAGGCGTATCGCTGACTCGTCGTTCGAGGTTGGAGGTTTTTTGAATGCCTCACTGTGACGAGCACTGAGGACTTTGATGTTTGTCCCTACCTACGCTTACGTAGTAGGGAAAGTCGCGTCCGTGGAGGCTTCTTCGGTGCGCTGCTTACTGGCTGCGAATGCTTGGCTAAAAATAAGGCCAGTTGATGGTGTGTTGCTTTCCGCCGTTGTTCACGCTCTATCTCGTTGGGCAGCGGTGGCGTCTGTGCGCCGTTTAATGGCGTTCTGAAGCGACGAGGGTCCGAATAGCGGAAGCGCCGGTCGAGGCGTGGGGTCCGCGGTGGAGGCGGCGTGTCCAGGCGTATCAATCGCCACACCGGTGGAGGAGATCCGCTGGGGTCCGCAGGCTGCGCAGTTGTCTGCAGCGTCGAGACAGGGGCACTCTGCTCGGGTGATGGTGGGGTCGTCGGCGGGGCTCGCAGGTACCTCCGCAGTCTCGATAAAAATTTTTTTTTTTTGAACATATAGTAAATCGAATTGATCTATAAATCATATACATAATTAATAGTTATTTGAAGAATGTTCAGTTAAATTTTCAGCCCAAAATACTGAAAAATAAGCTGGCTACAGCAAATTTTCACATGCAACGTAAAAAAAATCCTGTGGACACCATCACTCAAAATCTACTCGACCGATCAACTTCATATTTTATACACTATTTAAGTAGACGATATATGAGGTAATGACGTCGAGATATTTTAACTTTTTGCATTTTTAAATGTTTTTTACGAACAAGTACGATGAATTTTTGCCTTCATTTTGTCAAAAAAGTCATTTTTTTCACTTCAAAATGATGCCAAAATCTCAAAAATCATTCTAAACGAAATATCTCGACGTCATTACCTCATAATTTATGTAGATAAATAGTGAGAAAAATTTGGAAAGAGTCGGTCGAGTAGATTTTCAGTTACAGTGTCTACCACAATCGGCCGGCGCGGCGGCTGCTGCTCTGCCGAGACCCAACGCGTGCGGTCGGTACGCAATCTTAAAACTCTTGCCATTTTTTTCCTAATTGATATTTCTGGCTGAAATTTTACCAAAATCTTTTTTGTACCTTATATTTTAATGTTATCACGTTTGAAAATCCAATTTCGAACTTCCGTCACACAACATTTCAGTTCGTAGTTGACCCTCTGCTAAATCGGACAATGAAAGTTTAAAAATTCATATCTCGGGTTCTAATTAACTTTTTTTATAGTTGAACATGAAAAAATTAAAAAAATTTTTTTACGCATTTTTCATGAAAATTGCGTTTTTCTCAATGACACTGTCATTTTAGGGAAAAATAAATGTCATATTTGGATGCAATACATAAGGATTCATGTTGTTTATCTTAGCTCTCGTGGTCACTTTATCTCGTATCTTGACGTTTTTCGGCGACCTCCCGCTCGCCTAGATATATTGCCACAATTACCGATTCAGATTGTATTTAATTATACATTTTTAAATTACATATTGCCGTATATCAATAAGAGCTTGTGCGAGTGTGTATCGTGTGTGACTGAGCCATGCCAAGTAACGCAGGCGTGCGTGCCTACACACCGCCAGTGTACGCACCATGCTGCTCGCAATTGGACGAAATATTTCTCCACATTACCTATGTAAACATACATCATACTTATTTAAATAAAGTTATTGTAATCAAACCCAGTGATTTTATTATTGTGTATAATAAACAATTTTATTTATGACAAGAAGTGCGACGAGGATGCTTGATAGTGACTTTCACGTGAATTAAGTGAACTAACAAGGAGAGCCTTTCATCTGCGGGTCACAGATCCTTACCAAACTTGTGTAGGGATCTTCTTGTACATAATAATGAAGCCCCCTATGGTTACTTTATTCCAATGAGCCCTGGAAACCACTATAAAGCACCATAAAGTATATAATATAATATAATGTATACAATACCATATATTAACGTATAATAATATCAGGTTTACACAGTCAAGTCTAACTGATTGAGAAGTATTTATACTTTGAGTTTTTAAAGTCCAAAACACCTTTTCAATCAATAAACAATTTAACTCAATTGGTTTACTGATATTCTCAAAAGAGCGAATCAATTCAAGCTAAAATTTATGCATTTATCAACTAATATTTATATTAAATCATGTAAAAATGTTTTCATTTATAAAACTTACTGTTCTTTCTTTATCACCTATTTCTGGCCCTCAAAACATATGTAAATTCACTCCATATGAGTGTCAGGAATAGGTGAAGAGAAGGGATATGTGAGTTATACAAATAAAAAACATTTTCATATTATTTACATCAATATTTATTGTTTGGTACGTTAATTTTAGATCAAATTGGTGCGCTCTTTAAAACATACACAGCAAACCAATTGAGTTCAATTGTTTATTATTTGCAAAAGTATTTAGAATTCATATAAGTTCATGTACAAATATTTTTGAGACAGTTAGACTTGACCGTACAAGGCCTGATACCAATAAGTGGTATTTTAAACATTATATTATATTATATATACTTTATGGTGCTTTATCATGGTTTGCAGGGCCCATTGGAATGAAGTTACCATAGGGGGCTTTATTATTATGTACAAGAAGACCCCCAAACAAGTTTGGTAAGGATCTGTGACCCGCAGATGAAAGGCTCTCCTTGTAAGTGAATTTAGGGTGAACACATGAACAAAGCCAAGCCACAGGGTGGATTTAGAAACTCTCTAAGGACGAAATAGTTGAAAACCTGAAAAATACGTGGAGCCGACGTTGATCCCACAGAATTGCGAGACGAATTACGCGTAAGATTAATAAAAATCGTGCAAGAAGAAGAGTTGAACGCAAAACAGAAAGAAGACGCAGAGAAAGCTGAATCGACTGCAGAGAGCCCAGAGGCAATCAAAGAAAACAGGAACGGCAGCAACGAGTTATATAAAGATTTCCAGTCAGACCTTGACTCAGATAACGACAGCATCATGTCGGAAAACAGTTCAAAAATAAGATTCATTTTAAGTAAAGATAAGTCGGAAATTTTTGTGGAACGATTAGAGTTTCAATTTTTAGCTCTTGGCACAACAGTTGATGCAAAAAAGCAGCCATACTTCTTACATCAATCAATGAGGATCCCTATAACGAATCAATAAAAAATCTTTGTGCTTCACAAAAACTGGCAGACAAAAAATATGCTGAGCTCACCTAGTTAATGCAAAACCACGTCGAACCAAAACCATCAGAGTTAATGGAAAGGAGTAAGTTCTACAAAGCATACCAGTAAACGAGCGAGAGCGTCACCGAATTTGCCGCGCGACTTAAAAAGTTATCCATCAAGTGCAATTTCTCAAGAATAACGGAATCACTACTAAACCAGTTCGTTAACGGACTGCAGGATAAAGACACAAAAATTTAGCTTTTTGAAGAATTCGACTCCGCACTGAAAAGCGCATTAGCATGAGAAACTGCGCAGAAAAATACGTCTGCGCAGGAAAGAAATAATTTGCAAAAAGATGTGCTGACCATAAAATTGTTAAATCCAAACACCCCACCAGATTACGAAGCAGTCCCCAGGGATAACCGAAATTCCTACATACCGAGACAGCAACAAGCAGGCCGACGCGCACAAGATAACATATGCTGGAATACCGGTGGTTATACACGCTACCAATGCCCGAGCCCGTCTACTTAAAAAAAACGAGTTAGGTAGAACACCGCTTATGTATGTAAGTATAAAAACGTGACGTGCGATCACTGCAAGAAGCTCGGTCACATATAAGACGCCTGTTTTAAGAAATGCGCTCAAGCTAAACGCGGCCTTGAAAAGCTCGAAACAGGAAGCAGATACTCAGGAAGACTCAGACGACGAGATCAAGTACGAAGAAGATTATCACGATCACCGAGGAGATTTTTACAATCTAGAATTCAACGGAAAACGTTCTGTAAAATAACAATTTTTAAGTGGAGATCGCGACGGTGAGCTGATGTATGTAGATGTATGCGTGAACGGCATAACAATAACTTTAAAAGTCGATTCAGGAACTTATGAAACGGTAATATCTCAAAAAGTTTGGCGCGAAAAATGGCCGAGCATGAAACTTTTCGATACCCAGATAAATTTGCGAGGTTACTCATCGAAAAAGAACTAGACAGATTAGTCTCACTAGATCATTAAGAACCA